AGCTTCTTTCTTACTGGGGCATTTGAGGGGATGTAGAAAAACACTGGGTCTCTGGGAAGATCCTAATGTTGTTGATTTTGATTCCCCATTTGTCATAAGCATATTCAGCCTTCACCAAGTTTTGCATAACTAACATTTGTTAACAGAGAAGAAATCTTACCTTTCCTGAGCCCTCAAGGTTTTAAGAGCTAAGACTATCACCGACCTGGTGATATTTGCTGTTTTCCCATGAGGTGACAAGCATCAGTTTGTAGTCTACTTTATGATTTGGCCTCAGTGCAAGATTGGCCTCCAGAAATGAAACATTCATCAGGGTAGGTGGGCCTGCCTGCCAACTATCATTACATTTAACATTTTTCTTTTCTTTTTTTTCCTTTTCTGAGGCAATGGGGCATGAACCTAGGACTTTTGCATTGAGTTATATCCCTAACCATTTTTTTTTTTTTTAAGTTTTGAGACACAGTCTCACCAAGTCACTAAGTTGCCCAGGCTGGGCAACTTGTAATCAAACTTGTGATCCTCCTGCCTCACCTTCCAGAGGGCTGGGCTTGCAGGTACCTGTGTCTAAAAGCTTGTAGGGAGCCATGCGACAGCCCCATTGCTGCCTCCCTGTCACTCTCTCTCTCCTATGGGCACAATGCATCTGCCTATATTAACCATAATCTTCTCCTGCTTACGTCACACACCCGGACGTGACAATGACCCTGTTGTATTCATCCTCGTAGCCTCTTCCTGTCCCACCAGCTCACCCTTGGCCTATAAAAAGATGTGATTACTTCCAGAATAAATGGGGCTTGATTGGACTCTCTCAACTTGCCTCAGTCTCTCTCTGTCTCCCCCATGTTTTCATTTAATCCCCGTTCCCCTCTAGGTACACCCCACAGATTGATCCGTGGGCCGGATCAAGTGGTGCCCAGCGTGGGGGCTCCTGGCACAGGGGAGTCAACAAGGAAGCCGTTCGAGAAAGCTGGCTGAGAGTGAAAGCAAATTGAACCAAAGACCGTGGCGAGAAGTGAGCAAACTAAATCAAAGATCGAAGCTAAAAGCAAAAGCACATTAAATCAAGGCTGAGGCCTGCGCGGATGACTACCCAACGTCCCACCTGAGTCATGGTGAGTGAACGATGACCCCATTCCCTTTCCCGGACATGAGTCAAACATTGAGCAAACATGAATTGTTCGTGGGAGGCCTTATAAAGGCATTAAAGACAAGAGGGGTAAGGGTTAGAACAAAAGAATTATTGCAGTATTTTCAATTTATTCATAAGGTTTGCCCTTGGTCCCCCCTAGAGGGCTCTATAGATAGCAAGAGGTGGAAAAGAGTAGGAGATGCTTTAAAAGATTATTATAGCGTTTTCGGTCCGGCAAAGGTTCCGGTGATCACCTTTGCATATTGGAATTTAATCTCTGAGCTGCTTGCCCAGCGGCATGCAGATCCTCAGATTGAGGAGACGGTCGCACAAGGCCCTCCGAGCTACACAGCCTTATAGTGCTCCTAAGACGGTGCCTGCCTCCCGCAGGCCTCGTGGCACTCTTAAAATGGCGCTTGCCTCACTTCCACCACATCAGTGTGGGTCCCTCCCCAAAATTGCATTTCCGGTGACGGAAACAAATGTACCTCCCCAAGATGGTGCCGCACAGCCGCAAGACGGCGTGAGCACCACGCTGCTAGCTCCACAAGTCATTAGGACTCATATGCCATTCACAGTGGCAGCTTTAAAAGAATTAAAGACCGCGATTGCCCAATATGGCCCTATAGCTGCTTTCATTCTTGCTATTTTAAATTCTCTGGCTGACGGCTGGCTCACACCTACAGATTGACAAAGATTGGCCCGAGTGACTTTATCAGGTGGGGATAATCTTTTGTAAAAATCAAAATATACAAATAATTGCAAAGAAACCACCAGGTGTAATACACAAGCCGGCAATGGGTGGGACCTTAATATGTTAATAGTGGAAGATGCCTATGCATGCAGAAAGGCTCAAAAAGAGTTTAATCCAACACTTTTCGCTCAAATTCAAACAGCAGCTACCCGAGCATGGAGAAAGCTGCCTGCAAAAGATAATATGAGTTCCTCTCTCAGGAGCATTAAGCAGGGGCTGGGGATTTAGCTCAGTTACATAAGTACCTGCCAGCCAAGCACAAGGTTGTGAGTTCAGTCCCCAGGGCTAGAGATTTAACTCAGTGGCACAGGTGCCTGCCTGACAAATAAAAGGCTGAGTTCCATCCCTGGTACCATTGACATTAAAACTGCTTGTCGGGGCTGGGGATTTAGCTCAGCGGCATAAGCACCTGCCTTGCAAGCAGGCAGTCGTGAGTTCAACCCTGGTACCGATAAAAAGAAAAAGACAAAAAAACAAAAAAAAAACCTGCTTGTCAGCAAGGCCTTGCTATGGCTGCTGCCTTGCAAGGGTTTACAATTAAACAGTTGCTATCTCAAAAGCATAAACAAAACTGTTTTACCTGTAGAGAGACTGGTCATTTTACAAAAAGACTCCAGAGATAGAGATTCCAATGTCAATTACTTTGACTCATCTAACTGATCGGAGTGATATTGGTCTAGTGTCTTAAGTTTAATTTCAGCATATATAAGGATGGGGACAGCTGCTGAGAAAAAAATGAGAGACACTATGATAGTTATTATTGTCTTCCCCAATGTCAGATCTTAAAAACCTGAGAAGCCTTCATCATCCTGTAACGGTTTGATTAGTTCTATAATATGCAGTATGTATTTAATGTGCATGAAGATGGGCATAGCTGTTTGGAGGAAACTAGAGACAATCAGATGAACAATGAAGATCTCCAGTGGACTTGCTTTGAAATCTGTATTTTTTTAATCTTTTTCTTAAAACTGTCTTGTTCTGTTTTGATATATTTGGTCTTGCTTTCTATGAGATAAAAAACAAGTGTGTAGGACTGATAAACATATAACTAAGTTTTTGTTGGATCATTGAGCAGAACTGTTGGCAATGTCACTGTTTGTTGCTTTGTATGCTTTAATTTTGTAACCTGGACAGCTATTTCTAGGATGACAATGTGTAACTTATCATCTGGTGATTTCTTACCATTTATTTTTCTATAATTCTGTATTAAGATCACTATAAAACAAGCCAGACAGATAGTAAAAAATTGCCTTTCTTGTGCCATACACCTCCCAGTTTCACACTTTGCGGTTAATCCTAGAGGACTTATCCCCAGTGCATTATGGCAAATGGATGTCACCCATTAACCAATATGTGGAATGGCCCCGACACAGTCCTTATCTGGGGACAAGGTTCAGGGTGTGTTTACTCTCAACAAGATAGAGAGGCTAGATGGCTACCTGAGTGCCTCGTAGTAGACAGTTCTTCAAAGACCCCATGTAACGCCCAGGAATAATGTCATTTCCTGAGGCACAATCCTCTGTGTTCTCTTACAGGTGACACAACTCCCCGGAGCCCTATGTTGCCTACTCAGCCTTCTCCTTGAGCCGTACGTACCAGACCCATGGTGGATTTAGACCCCTGCCAAACAGACTATAACTGCTGACAGCCATGCACACAACCCCCTGTGACTGCGGAAGAGGCTCTTCTCGGTCTGGAGGGACATAAACCAGCCAAATAGACTGCATCCGCTCTTATGAGAGGCAAGCTCCAAGAAATAGAAGAACGACTTCAACAGCGACAACAACAAATGGCTGCCAACCCCTTCTCCTCAATGTGTGCGTGTGGGGGGAGCTTTTCCCTTACCTAATGCCCCTTTTGGGTCCCCTAGCTGCCCAATTGCTTCTCCTTTCTGTGAGTTCTTGTATTTTTCAGAGAATTATGACGCTCATTAATAACCAGATAGACACGTTTATGGCAAAGCCCATTCAGGTACACTATCATCAGCTGGAGATGGCAGATCAACAAACCTACCGGGAAGGAATTCCCACAAATGGCCCATGTGATGATGCAGCCTAACTGCCCTGGGGCAATGGATGGGCAGTCAGAGACGGGCAACTAGGACATGCATGTTAACCCCATCGGCCGCCTAAGACAGGCACAGGACCAACTGCTGTCCTGTAAGCCCATGATGGGTAAGGCCTGGTTGGGTTCATGTAATGGTCCTTGACCTAAGACAGATGCTGTCCTCACAGGGCCTGCCATACTCCTGATTAAATAATATAGAAAGGGAGGAGATGTAGGGAGCCGCACGACAGCCCCATTGCTGCCTCCCTGTCTTTCTCTCTCTCCTATGGGCACAATGCATCGTCTGCCTACATTAACCATAATCCTCTCCTGTTTACGTCACATACCCGGACGTGACGATGACCCTGTTGTATTCATCCCCGTAGCCTCTTCCTGTCCCACCAGCCTACCCTTGGCCTGAAAAAGATGTGATTACTTCCAGAATAAACAGGGTTTGATTGGACTCTCTCAACTTGCCTCAGTCTCTCTCTGTCTCCCCATGTTTTTATTTAATCCCCGTTCCCCCTCCAGGTACACCCCATGGATTGATCCGCGGGCCGGATCAAAAGCTCCCACCATCCTTCTCAAAACTTTGCAGTTTTGGACATCAGGCTGTTAAAAATATTAGTAGACACATACAAATCATGTGTAACTTTTATTTAATCACTATTCCACTATTTGGATGTTGATTTTACTATGTGATTCATTAATTACTTCTAATGGAATGTCTATGCTATTTCTTTTTTCATTATTCACTTAATGAGTTACATATTACTAACAAGTCAAGAAAGATTATATTCAACCAATTCTTTAAGAAGAACTGTCAAAAAAGCAAAAAAGGGACAAAGAAACCAATCCCACTTCTAAAGATAAAAGAAATAAAACAAAGAGCCTAAAGCAGTACTGATTAAATTATTAATCAAAGATGTGTTTTTACAGAATACCCCAACTTGTATACATAATTACTCTACAAAACAAGAAATGCTTCTTCCTCATCATCCCTCACATTCAACAAGTGCCATGAATATGATCTTGACCAAATGACCATGTCAATTCATGAGAAAAAATTACCTGCATTTAAAATACACAGTCCCTTCGTGGCTCCCGTCATGCTTTCCTCTCTCGGGATTGTCCCACTCTACTCCTAACCAGAGTCCTAGTAGAACAAGAAGAACTGAATGAGTAACAAAAGATGACAGAATAACAAAAGTAATCCCATGAGTTCAATCCCTGGTACCAAAAAAACAACAAACAAACAAACAAAAACAAATTAAGTTTACACTTAAATTAGCAAATGCAATAGCACATTTGGATCAAAAAGCCAACAAGATTGGTGTGGTGGCCCAAGGCTATAATTCTATTACTCTAGAGGCTAAGGCAAAAAGACCCAAAGTTTGAGCCTAATCTAGGCAACTTAGTAAGACCTTGTTTCATAATAAAATAAGTAAGAAATAAATAAAATCTGGGGATATAACTCAGTGTAAAAGTCCTGTGTTCAATTAAAAAGAAAAAACCACAAAAACAAAAAGCAATAAACAAAAACAAAAACCAGGAATTGCATTCAATCTGCAGATCATTTTGGGTAGCACTAACATTTTTATTTATTTATTTATTTATTTATTTTGTCTTTTTCGTTTTTATCGGTACCAGGGATCGAACTCACGACTACCTGCTTGCAAGGCAGACACTTATGCCACTGAGCTAAATCCCCAGCCCCTAGCACTAACATTTTTAACCAGATTCCAATCCATAAACGTGGGATATCTTTACATTTTACTGTTTTCTTTTATTTCTTTCAGCAATATTTTATAGTTTTCACTCTCCTTGGCTAATTCCCCAATAGCTTTTCATTTTCACGTAGAATATACACGCAACCGATCAGTGGTGTTAAACCTATGGCATGCATGATGCAGGAAGCTATTTGTTACCACTGAAAGCTCTAAAAGGTTTGCCATCACCGTAATAAATTATATATAATAGTATAGATGTACAAAGGAAAGAAATTCAGACACATGCTACAGCATGATAAACCTTATGCTAAGTAAAGCAAGCCAGTTAAAAAAGGTAGAATACTATGTAATTCTGTTTATTTGAGGATGCCAGTGTAATCAAATTCAGAGAGACAGAAAGTAGAGTGGTAGTTGCAGGGACTGGCAGGAGATGAAACACTGTTCAGTGGAGTTTCAGTTTGGGAAAATGAAAATATTCTAGTGGTGGATGGCGATGATGGGTATACACCAGTGAACATTCCCAATGCCAGGGAGCTACCTACTTACAAATGATCAAGAGGGGGCTGGGGTGCAACACAGTGGCAGTTCACATGCTGAGCATATGCTTTGAGGGCCTGGGTCATCTCCAGCAAAATAAACAAATAAATAAAGACAGTACCTTTTATTTGTATTTTACAATAAAAAAAAGAGACTAAAATCAAAAAGAATAAACTTTTCCTATTATCTTTATTTTGCACTTAATTTATTAACTGTTTTTGTTCTTTATTCTTTGGATTTCTCATTTAAAAGAAACCGTAAGTATCTGTAACTCTTGAAGAATATCTGCTCTTTGGGAAGCTCTTCCACCAATGATAGAGTAAGAGGCACAGAAATCAGTACACCTGAGAGAGCAGCTGTAGGGAGTGACTGGGCAAGATGACCTCATCAGCCATGTCTCAACTTCACATGACCCGGGTGTTTATATCCAACATACTAAGGTAACCAGACCCCAAAAGCCTCTTTCTTAACAAGCTCTAATTCATAAAAAAACTAACCAAGAAAATAGCAATGAAACAAAAAATGTGGCACTGTGTTACCTTACAAAAAGAAAAATTAGAACCTTTACTAGTCTTAGAATCCTCTCAGTATCAGCACTCTGGGAGGCTGAGGCAGGAGGATCACAAATCTGTGCCAGACTGGGATAACTTAGTGATTTCTAAGACCTTGTCTCAAAATAAAAAAACATAAAGGGCTGGGGATAGAGTTCAGGCCTGGGTTCAATCTACAGTACTGCCAAAAAAGAACAATGTTTCCTTTTTCCTGAGCTAACAGCAGTCTGATACAGGAGCCCAAAGGAACATGGAGTAAGATAACGAGGGACACCAGTGTCACATGTTCACAGGTGTCTCACAAAGGCTGTGATGTAGCTCAGGCCTCTGCCAGAGGTCTGAGTGGAAAGCTTAGTTGTACAGAGGCAGTCAGTCAGAAGGTCCAAATGGTTCTACCTGGCTTTCTAGTGCTCTCACTTTCTACAGGAATATTGGCACATCCTAAAAAATTAAAACAACACTCTCAGACTGCAGGTACCAGAATTATCCAGGGGCCATGTTAAAAAGAAGTTCTGGACCATAACACAGACTTGCTAAATTGGGATCTTTGGGTATAGAAGTAGGGAATGTATATTTTTAACAAGTATCCTAGGCTCACTGCCTCAGACTTCTCTTCCTAGACAGATATTATCTCAAGTAATTCAAATGACAATTAAATGATAGCAATTTCAAACTGAAGTCACTTATAACAAACTGAAAGACAGGAGTTTTGCTTTGTTATTCTTAGACACAAAGTACTGATTGAGAAGAATGATGACTTAATCTAAGAATCTAAGACCACATATTCTAGCCCTGAGGCCAAAATTATAGATTTCTGTGTTTATTGTATTGATTTGCTGAGAGAACACCATGAGGCATCATACTTAAAAAAAAAAATACTATAATGGCACGGGGCACAAACTGCTAATCCCAACTACTTCAGAGGCTGGGATGCAGAACAATCACAAGTTTGAGGCCAGCCTGGACTACTCAGTGATGCCTTGTTTCAAAATTTAAAAAAAGGCTAGAGATACTGGGCATGTTAGTGTACACCTGTAATCCCAGAATTTAGGAGGCTGAGGCAGGAGGATGGCCACAAGTTTAAGGCCAGCCTGTGATATATACTGAGTTTGAGCCTGGTCTGAACTACACAGTGAGATTATCTCAAAGATAAAATCAATCAGTAAATCAGTGGATGGGCTGGAGGTGCAGTTCAGTGGTAGAGAGCTTGTCCAGCACAAGGTAGAGTAATACAATTCTAAGTGTTATTCAAAAGAAAAAGGAAAAAGGAAGGCATTCATGATTTTCCTAAAAATAGAAACAGAAGCTCAGAAAAACAGTACTTTCTAAATTTACAATAACACATAGCACCAAAAACAATAATAATCTAAAATTTAAGATGTTCTTACAAACTAAGCACAGTGGCCCATGCCTTTCGTCTCAGCACTCTGGGGGATGAGGCTAGAGGATTGCAAGTACTAGGCCTACCTGGGCAACTTATTGAGATCCTGCCTCAAAATGGAAAATAAAAAGGTCTAGGGATATCGCTCTGTGGGAAGACCCTGGGTTCAATCCTTAGTACTAGAAGGAAAAAAAATTCTGATTGTCAGTATGATAAGTTTTTTGCATACATTAAGTGACTGAATCTTCACAGCAGCCCTTTGATATAGGAGACTGCTCTCCTTCAGCATGACTGTAGGCTACAGAACCAGTACTAGCCTGCAAGAGCAGGAATTCTCTCTGGAGAAGCAATCCAACATTTGTTCAAAGCTTCAAAAAGTTGAAAACTTAGTCCCAAATTTTCTGCAACTATAAAGTTTAGTTGGAAATTATTGCATATAGTAAAACCTAAAATTTGAAGCAGGCTGAATCCCACTAACAGGTAAGCTGTAGCATACACGCATCCTGAAATACTCATGCGCATTAACTATTTATACTACAGTTTTCCACCTAATTATCATCATATATCTAAGTGCAAAAGACAATGACCTTAGACTGACATAACGTGCAGATGTTCCTCTATACAACTGATTTAGCTATAATTGCCATTTACTGCTAGAACAGTAAGTCATGCCATTGTCACATTTTTTTTAGGGAGGGTATGGGGATCAAACTCATGACCTCATGCTTGCCAGGCAGGTGCTTGTGCCACTGAGCTTAAACCCCCAGCCCCACTGTCGAAGTTAAACACACTCTCACATATTCTTCCTTGCTTGGTAAAAGGTCAAGATATGAGTCACCTGAAAGTTGTTAGGAAAATGCTAAAAAAGCACTGCTATGCATACTTTGTGTAGGAATTTATTACCAGATCATGTGTCAACTCTAATTCTCTAGGTAATACTATTTCTCTTTCCTTCTTTTGTTCATTCTTTCTTTGTACTAAGTAGTACTATTTAAAATAAATAAGGACAATAAAAACTTTGGAACAAAATCAAAGAGTTGAACACGATGGTATATGTCTGTAATATAAACTACTCAGGAGGCTAAAGCAGAAGAAACACAGGAGGCCAGGCTGGGAAAATTATCAAGGTCTTGTTTTAAAGTAACCGTAAACCTGGTGTAGTGCTACAAGCTTATAATCCCATCACTCTGGGAGTCTCAGGCAGAAGCCCAAATTTGAGCCTGAGCAATGAAATGACTTTACAAGACCCTGTCTCAAAATAAAAAAAGGGCTATAGGGGCTGGGGATTTAGCTCAGCAGCATAAGCGCCTGCCTTGCAAGCAGGCAGTCGTGAGTTCGATCCCTGGTACTGATAAAAACGAAAAAGACAAAAAAAAAAAAAAGGGCTATAGTTGTAGCAAAGGCCCTGTGTTCGACCCCCAATACTGAGACAGGAGACACCAGAGATGTACCTCAGTATGAGGGCCTTGGTTGAAAATCTAGTAATAATAATAATGCCAGACTTCTGGGGACATGAAGGAAGTGGTAAGCAGCAGAGACAGAGCCTCTCTAAGATTTGGTGTTCAGACACTGGAACATAGCAACATGAGAAAGGGAAGAAGGAGGAAGTGGGTCTCTGGCACCAAGGAAGGATTTGAAGTGAGAACTGAAGCCCACAAGGAGATCAAAGAGAAACTCCGAGGAAGAAGAAGGAGGCAGGCAATGCTTTCTCCTTGAGCCTGGACTCACTGTGTGGAGGGTGGCCTGAACCTGCAGATACTCAGTAACTGCTGCCTACCTCAGAGGTCTCCTTGGAGAAGCATACCAGTGGAACAGAGCTATGGCTACAGCAGACTGCTGTGGCTGGTGACTTGTTCTTGTTCTGCTCTGTCACAAGAAAAGGTGACTGGCCGGAAGACATCTTGGAGAGAGGCCAAATAAGTTTGGGACTCAGAATAGCTGAAGGCTCCACCTGGTG